TCCCCTGTGAGGTGTCAATATGCCGCTCTCAAAAGTAAATCCTAGGTTCTGTCCAAAAAGTATTGCTTGCCCAGCAGTTCGCGGAAAATTCACAACATTCCTACACCGTACACAGACCAAATCATTTCGTGGAGATGGGGAAAATCAGACTGGCATTACCACAGCATCGGAACCACTGTCCAAAAGAGTAACGACATTGCTTTCTTCTTCCACGTTGTCGGAATGAGATTCCACGATGTGTTGTCCAGTTCCGGATTCGCTGCTGGCTGGGGTACTGGTGCCCAGTACTACGTTTGGTGCAACCCACGGCACCATACACATCATCAGAATTACGTGAAGGACGCTCATCCTGAAAAATTCGCGGATAAAATAACTGCATGCAGTGGGTGGTCTTCCCGAGCACGAGAGAAACTGGGGAGCTCCGAACATCAGTTCATCGGTACTGGGGTTATCGACGAGGAGGTCTCAAAGTTACTATAGCATAACCAACCCAATTCTTGGCCTTTTATACTGCTTTAGTTACACGCACTTCTAAAACTATTGTCATTTTAATTTTTAGTCTCTTCCTCTGTTAATCGTATTAGTCTGAGAACTAATCATCATGTAATAGAGCGTCAGGTACGCTTTTTTAATCTCGTACATAGACAAGCGCTCTGTTACGTCAGCAGCACGTATGTTGTCGTTGTGATAATGTGATAAAGTTAAATTGTGATAAATGGGAAATTTGTGCGCCTTGCCGTAACTGGTGAAAGTTACTTGTTAAAGAATGGTACTTAGAGCCTTATGCAACTGCAAAATCATCCTGCTTGATGCTTAATTGACACGATTTGTGGACGTATAAGCGGCCAAAAAAAAGAAATAAAAATCAAACGCGTAGTCAGAGCAAAATTAATCCTCTCATAAGTCCTATTCACAGAAAATTTTACAGAAGTTCTATTAACAAACAAAATGCAAATTACCATTATACGGGCGGATGAGGACGCTCACGAATATGCTGAAACGCACGAAAAGGACCAGAAATTAACGTAAATGCACTAAAAAATCATCAAAGTCTCCACGCTAATAGTCTAAGCTATCATCGCACAAGATTTCAAACTGAACTTTCACCTACGTTTGCATTTCACATTTTGGTATAAAATTTTCAATTGAAATTTTACAGCTCACGACAAGATCAGCAAAAAAAGGAAAATCTTTAATAGACAAGCGTCCGCCGGACAGAACTGCACAAAATGCATGACCGCATCAGCTACCTTTGGCTCGCGCCCCTATTTATTCTTTAGGCAAAATTTATGATAAGTTACGCTAGAGCACGTGCGAGATAAGTGTAAAGCAGCAACCATTTATATAGTTAACGACTTATGTGATTTAGGTTTAGTGCAAAAGACGCATGATTGCACCGGCAAGCCTAGAGTTTATGGTGTGGATTGTACATGAAAAATTTTTTGGCTTACTGCAGTAGTGTTATAGCGCTGTATAGAAAAGCGCATAAAAAAAAACAGTTAGCTGATCGTGTTAGATACCGGTACGAATGCAAACTTTATACAGCTTTATCCAGCGGATGCTGCCTAGGGAGCTGAAATGTTTTGTGAGCTTGGTTCAGTATTACGTTTGAGCGGGTGAAAACAACTTCCTTGCTCTCCTCAGATCTTACATAAGAACATGTGGCAAATTGATGTTAATAATTTTTTAATTCCAAAACTAAAACAGCGGAAAGCTAAAATTTCTTGTGCATGATCCAGGACCATGTGTAAAATTGTGCAAGTAAAAAAATTTTCACGTCACCCTACATCTAGCATGACACGAAAAAGTTTCAAAATTCTGGAGCTCCGCAACCACGCTACTTAGGGAGACGAAATTTTGTGAACAGAGTTCGAGAACACGTACAGACACGCATATCTGAAGCAACCCATAAATTTTGTAGAGCTCACTTTCAGGTAAAAATTTTGTAACTAAATATGCAAAAATGTTTAAATGCGCCCGTAATGCTGATGCGTCTGATTTTGCTTTCGTAAGACTGGGGAGGCGTCCAAGATTTGGTCCGTGAATCTCTATGTTGCCCACATTTCACAGTTATTTTGTCATTTTGTTTTCAGTTAAAAATTTATCACATGCTCTGGTATACATGGTAATCTAAGCTGTTAATTTTTGCTCCTCAGTATAGTTGTGATACATCTCAAAACGCATACCAGTTAAACTGGACCTTTTTGCCATGAATCTGCTGGTTCCAGTCTCCATTATGTAAGAACTTCAAATTTTCGAATGCCGTACTTGCAACTGTTACCTTTTAAGGGTGATTTCACTTACTGCTGCGCTATCCATCTTGTGTCAGTTAGCGACATGATTTGTTTTTTTTTTTTCAGTAGCGACTTGGAGAAATTAAGTGATACATTTGTATAATAATCAATTTCTTAACGTATATATATATATATATATCCTTAATATAGTTGTGATACATCTCGAAATGCAGACCAGCTAACCTGGACCTTTTTGCCATGTGTCTGTTGGTTCCGGCCTTCATTATGTAAGAAGTTCACATTTTCGAATGCCGTATTTGCAACTGTTACCTTTTGAGGGGTTTTCACTTACTGCTGCGGTATCCATCTTGTATCAGTTAGAAACATAATTTGTTTTTTTTTTTCGAGTAGTGATTTAGAGAAATTAATTGATATATATGTACAATAATCAATTTCTTAACGTATATATATATATATATAAAAGAGTTAGGTTGAGCTACCTCATTCATAGTTTAAACTAGTAGTATAATAGAAACGTGTTATATTTTCTGTAAATAGGACTTATCAGAGGATTTTTGCGCAGCCCTTAACGTTTTTTTGGCTCATTTATACCAGTTTTGGCCTATCCCATACGTTTCAGCATATCTGTGAGCAGCATCACCTGGCCGTGTGTTGATGATTTGCATTCGGTTCGTTAATTAAAACTATGTTTTATTTTCTGTAAATAAAATTTATCAGAGGAATAATCTTGCTCTGACTAAGCGTTTGACTTTTTTTTTGGTTTACTTTACGGACTATGCGTTCACAGATTTTATCAAGTAAGCATTACGCAGGATTTTTTTGCAGTTACGTAAAATTTCAAGCACCACTTTTTAACACTTATCGTCATTAGTTACCAGCAAAGCACAGAAATTTCCCTCCCATCAAAATTAACTTTATCACACTGTCACACAATGACAGATTAAACGCTGAGGATTTGGCAGAGTGCCTGTCTGTATTCAAGATTAAAAAAACGCCCTTAATGCTGTTACCAGAGCGACTGTCTGTGCGTATAATTAAACCCAGGCAGAAATGCATCAGACTTGCCGGTGTGACCATATGTTTTTGCATCAGATATATATATATATGTATATATATGTATATATATGTATATATATGCATATATATATACATATATATATATATACACGCACATACACAAGCACACGCACACACAGGGTCGTCGCAAAATGTTTTTTTGCAATTTGCATATAGGCAAAAACGCACAATTATTGACATTGATAGCTTAATTTTACCAACTTTTACTCACAAAATCGTCCTTAACTGATTGGGGGACGAGAAAGATCAAACGGTAGATCAGTCTGGGGTCAAAGTAGATCAGTCTGGAGAAAGGGGCACGACAAAAAACAAAAGGAAAGAATAACAATAAAAGCATCGGTTGTTCAAACTCGGAAAAGTTTTACTAAAAACTCTAGGAAATTGGCCGGAAAAGAAAAAGGGAGATACTTCGATGAAGGATTTGTTCTTGTCAGGCTTCGGTTTCGTTCATAGACAGGCATTTAAATACAACGACACTCTACCGTTCTGAAGAGCTGCGACTTCCCAGAACCTTTTTTTATGCCTCTCTCTTTTATCTTTCCCTGCTTTGTTCGAGGAAATCGCGCAACAAATGATTTCTTCTGGTATGGTGAATCGCTCGAGCTATTTTCAAGGTGGCTATACACAGGGGGTGGATGACTTTGAAGGTTTAATTGTATCAGCTTTTCCGCTCGAAACCTCGA